CATCGTTATGAGTCTGTACGATGAGATTTTGTAGTCGTTCGATAGTTTATTTGTATTTTTCAATGGTTTTTGATTAGCGATTGCTGGATTTGTCGATTTGGATAATTTTTAGCGATATGCATCTTGCAAACATATGAAATATTTTTTTATAAGATTTTTTAAAAGTTTTGTACATCTAGATTTTGTAGTCATTCGATAGTTTATTTGCATTTTTCAATGGTTTTTGATTAGCGATTGCCGGATTTGTCGATTTGAACTTGTGGTTTATGGTTGATTCCCAGCCAACAAGATTTTCAGAAAGAGGGTTCTTCCTTACCACAGGTAATTTTGAAAAAAATTTATAAAAAATTTTAAAGGAATTTATAAGGATTTTTAAAGGTTTTTATAAGAATTTTATAAGAATTTTAAACTGATGATGTTCAGTTTTATACGTTTATTACTGGTGCTGAGATGAATCTGGATGCCCAAGGAACGTAAGAACCCGCCTAAGGGATGAAGCTGGAAGCTCAAGGAATGTAAGACCTCGTCGATCTGGTCGGTCTACCTAGTTTTTCATTTATCTCAAACTTATGATGCACGATAAAAATTATTTTCTTTAAAAAAGTCTGTAAAAAATCCTTTTGCTTTTTTGTTGATACAATCAAGATGTTAAGACTGCATAAACGTATGATGCACGATAAATGTTTTTGTTTATAGAAATTTCTAATTTCGGCAAAAAGTCTGTAGCAAATCCTTATCAAATCCGTATAAAATCTTTATCAGATCCTTATCAAATACTTATAAAAGTTGTACATAATGCTTATAAAAGTTTGTTTGCCAATATTTTATCCAAAAAATCTGTAAAAAAGACTTATAAAATCTTTTAAAAAGTTGTATAAAATGCTTATAAAATGGAGATATTTTAACGGTTTATATATTGAACAGCACATAAAATGTTCTATAAATCACTTTAATCATAAAAACTCTATAAAAAACTCTGTTTTAATCCAATAAATGCAAATAAAAAATAAATGTTAATAAAAACTTTGAATCTTAGAGAGAGTTTGTAACTAAAAATATTCAGTTGATTGGATTCACACAA